TTGTAAAATATTTTAAGACTATTGATATAAAGAGAACCGCCGATCTGTGGGGGATTTCTGTTAAAGTTACTGCGTCTATAATAGATACAATCGCACCTCAACTATCTATTATTTTTAATACTAGTATCGAATCTGGTGTTTCCTGATTTAATGAAGCATAGTAAAGTAATACCTTTATTTAAATCTGGTAGTACATTGGACCCCGCTAATTTTAGACCAATTTCTGTACTGCCAACACTTAGTAAAATTTTTGAAAAAATTATTCTTGATCAAAAGTTAATTTTTTTAATGTAAATATACTTCATATCAATTTGGTTTCACAAGGAGTCGCTCGACAACTGATGCTGGTGTTGAGCTGATTAAATATATATTTAATGCATGGAAGAATTCACAGGATGCTTTGGGTGTGTTCTGTGACCTATCCAAAGCCTTTGATTGTGTTCACCAAGAACATACGGAAAACCAGGAATTGGAAAGAAAAATTAATATATATTTCCGCGTGTACAAATGGGCGTGCCCGGTCTCAATTTCGGGCCTTTTTTTTTATATGTTAATGACTTACCTTACATAGTAGGGGATAACCATGATATAGTATTATTTGCTGATGATACTTCATTAATTTTCAAATTAAAACGACAGTTATTATATTACGAAGTAAATAATACTATAGCTAAGTTAGTCAATTGGTTTAATGTTAATAATTTGCATTTGAATGGAACTGAAACTAAATGCATGAAATTCGTAACTCCTAATGTTCAACATGTCAATACTAATGTAATTTTAAATGAGGAGGAACTGAGTCTTGTTGATACCACTATTTTTCTTGGAATCACACTGGACGCAAAGATTGAATGGCTCACCCATATATCAAAACTAGCTGGCAGACTTAGTTCTGCAGCATATGCTGTAAAAAAGATTAGAACTCTTACCAGTGTTGAAACAGCTAGAATAGTTTACGTTAGTTATTTCCATAGCCCTATGGTATGGTATTTTGCTATGGGGACACGCGACTGACACTGAAATTATATTTATTTTACAGAAGAGGGCTATTAGAGCAATATATAATTTAAAACCAAAAGAGTCACTGAGACAAAAATTTAAGGAAATTAATATATTAACTCTGGCCTTTCAATACATTTATGAAAATGTAATGTACGTACACAAAAATAAAAGTAGTTTTGCGAAAATAAGTGATATTCATTCTGTAAAGCAGACACAAGCTATTAGTACCAGTTACTCGACTCCACCGAGTCAGTAATTCATTCTTGGGGCGATGTATACGCTTTTACAACAAAATCCCAGAAAATATACTAAATTTGTCATACACAAAGTTCAAAAATGTTATTAAATTAAGTTTGTATAAAAAGGGTTATTATAATATTAAGGAATTTATGGATGATAATAACCACTGGGAAGGGTGATCGCTACCAAGCTATTTCTAATTTGTCTTGTGTTGTTAATTGTAAACATGATTGTAAGCTATTATTGGAAAAAAAATAGTCCCACTGGGTTTCTTGCTGGTTCTTCCCAGGACAGAGGTTTTTTTTTTGCGAACCAATGGTAAATGAAAAAAGTGACTTTCAATAAGTATTGTTATAATCTACATGGAATAAAAAAGTTTCTGATTCTGTTTCTGATGTAGTAGACGAAAAATTACGTTCACAGTTTAAAAATTAGTGGCGGAAGAAACTTTGATATTAAATTTAAATAATGCATAGTAATGATAAATGTAAATATGTTATTTCACCAAACTGTCTTGTTTGCAGATAAATTGTAAGAGAAAATCAAGAGCCACTCGGGGTTACATACTAAATAATATGTAACTTCGACGTCTATCTTTATTTCACTTATTTATTTTTTAAATGTTAATGTTCTCCAAAAAAAAAATTAAGAACAAAATTAAATGATACAATTGTAGATATTGTGTAATATTTCATTATAACAACTTCTAATTACTTGCACAGGAAGACTTAACATCTTATTTTTCAAAACAAAAATTCTCCTTTCATATTTACGATTTTATTATTATTGTAATTAAAATGAAGGTTAATAAAACGTAGTTACACTTTGCTAGTTAATTTTACTATTTTCTTGTACAAAAATAAAAATATCGATGGTTAATATATCGAATTTTTTGTATAAAAGACAAGTGAACGCTAGAGATACGACAACTGCAGGACATTGTCGATAAATCAAATGTTTTGAATAATTATACAATGTGTCAAGTCATCGGTGTCGGAGACTTTGGGGGGTTGAAATAGGGTAAATTTTATCGACAAATCACTATCCCTATTTTATGTTTCTCCCTCCATGATGAAAGCAGCCATTTGTTTTTTTTTTTGCCTCGAGGCACGGGTGCTTGTACTGATTAAGCCATGGCTACCCATTTAGAAGTCCTAGGAAGACGAAAAAGGATGTCGTTTCTATTTTATAAAACAGCAAAAGGGAATTTTTATAACAAACAAAAGCTTTTTTAAACTTTTTTTTTTAAATTATAAGCTTTTTAATAAAATCTAAACTGTCAAGCTACATTTTTTTGTTTTTGAATGTTAGTATAGAATGTGTGCTCTTTAAATTAGTTCTATCTTAGGCCTACGCAAGATATTTTAGAAGTTATGATGATTTAAACATGGTAGTGTTTCTATCCCTGGAGTAGAAAAAGATAAAGAAAATAATATAAATACATTACCATAATGGTTTATTCTATCAAAATCAATGAAAAAGTTACAGCCACGTTTAAAAATGTCCTACGTGGTGTAGTAGACAAGCTGTAGCTCTAATTAACACATGTTGTGTAGCGCGTCGGATCACGTCTTTGTCTCTCCTAAATTCATTCTCAACTTGTATAATTTTTTCAATAAGTTCCTCGCGAGTATTTGGCAAGTTGACGTATACTTTCTGCTTCATTGTGCCCCATAAGTAAAAATCGAGGGGTAGGGGGTCAAGTCTGGAGAACGCGGTGGCCAAGCGATTGTTCCACCTCGTCCAATCCAAGTCGAATATCGTTCATTTAAATAGTTTCTTACATTTACTGCAAAATGTGCCGGAACTTCGTCCAGTTGTAGCATCATTCGTGACCTATAAGTCAATGGTATTTCCATTATTGCGTCTAGGTAATGAGTTTCCAGGAACTCCAAAAATCTTGGGCCATTCATCGTGACTGGCAAAATGAGAGGCCCAATCAGTATATCGTCGATCATTACAGCCCACACATTCACAGCATGAGAATTTGTCTCGCAGCATGAGAATTATCGTGGAGCCACAGATGTTCGTTGCAGTGGTTTGTGTACCCTAATTGTGTGTAAGTTACGTCATCGATCTACAATTTTTTTTTTCAAATTTGGTTTAGATCGCACTTTTCTTGATATCCATGAACAAAAAAACTGACCTTCGTGCAACATCTGGTTCATTTCATTCTTGAACTCTTCTAAAATGGTATGGAAACATGTAGCTTGACAGCTTAGATTTTATGAAAAAACTAATAATTTAATAAAAAATAAAAAAAAACTTTAATTTCTTTTAAAAATTCTCTTTTGCTCTTGTATAAAAAAGGAACGACAAATTTGTTATCACTGATTTATTGTCTACATTATTAGCTATCAAACGAGTCCTTTTTCATCTTCCTAGGACTTCTAAAAGGGTAGCCATGGCTTAATCAGTACAAGCGCCCATGCCTCGAGGAAAAAAATGGCTGCCATTTGATCATGGAGGGAGAAAAAATATAGGGATATTGATTTGTCTATATTATTTAGTATTTCAACCCCCCAAAGTCTCCGACACCGATGCCTGGACACATTGTATAATTTTGTTGTTTGCTGTAATAATAATAAGAAAAAAATGTGAAAGGAAAAAATATTTTCGTTTTGTATTCAATCTCGTTGGAAAGCGATTTTTCTGTGTGATACAGCATTGCCGGGGTGGGTGACATTTCAATTACAGCTTATAAAAGTTCACTGCTGAACATAAGACTCCCCCATAGACTGCCTCATCGAGGATTTTGCCATAGTTGACATGCTTGGCGAGCGGGTTGTCAACCGCAGTTTTTTTATTATTTCGGGTTGTTATCAGGAAGATACTGATGCCCATTACCTGTTTCAATTTCCTTCTGTCGCCTTTTACGACACCCACAGGACGATACGGGGGGTGTAGTTATTCTTACACCGCCATTACACGGCTTCCGCTACTACGCGGCTTGACATTTGAGGTGACATTTGCGGCAGTAAAATTTTGAGCTCTACCCTACTAAATTTTGAGATCTACTCTTTCTGTGTTACCGCACGCGGCGGCTTACGATTGTTTTTGAGTAAAATCGAACCTGACATCAACAAACTTGTTAAAAATCAACAATGATTTAATTTTTAACACGATGATAGGGATATAAATTTTATCCTAAAAGTGTCTATTTTTAAATCGATTCAAATGGAAATCTGATGATGAATCGATTCACAAAAAAGCAAGGTTTAAAAGATCGATTTTCCAAAAATCGATCTTATTTCGGTTTGCTTTCAGATTCGTATAAAGTATTGATTACAAAAATTAGGTACTTTATTTATTTAATCCATTAAGAAGAGGCGAAAGAAACCGAGCACACAGCAGTTTTGCTAGATTTTGAATAGAAAAACTGTCGTTCTTTACGAGTTTGGGCACATTCAACTCATTGTCAATAATTTTGTAGTTCTTATGAAAACAGTAAAAGATGCGAAAATAGAGAGTAAAAAATAGAGTTTTTAGGGTGTCCGATTCAGTACTATATATCGATTAAAACGTTCGATCTTTTTGACACAAGAAATCGGTTCTTCGATTAATCGATCTCAGATCGACATGCCTAATCGATGATCATCGAACATCCCTATCCAAAACTAGTCGCCAATCGCCATTTTATTTTCTCAAAAGCTTTTGACTTTTGAGCTGTTTGTGTAATTTTAATTTGTGAATTTTGGAGTAATTAGCTGTTTATTGTGTTTGAACTCGGTTCAGTAGTAGCAATCGTCAATAGCAAGATGCCCAATTGCAATATAATCGGATGTGGCATCAAAAGAAGCAGAAATCACCCGAACGTAACATTACACCAGTACGTTTATTTTACTTTATTTTAGCTGAAATATCTTTAGATTTAGATTAAAAAACGAAGGATTCAGCTTTTGTTGAAGAGTTTCAACAGTGAACTTTTAATTATTTTGCTTTTATTTTCAACAGTTGTACTTCATGAAATCATTTTCTGACAGTTTTATATTTACCGGTAATGCTATTTTATGGTTCTGTATTGGTTTTATGTTTTACTTTCAAGGTTGCCTGCTAATAAAGGAAAAAAGAAAATTTGGCTGGAAACAATTGGTATTGAAAATTTAAAGATGTCAACGAAAACAATCCATATTTGTTCTCTTCACTTTCAAGAATCATGTTTCAACCGGACACTGAATAAAGTAACATTGCGTGATGATGCTTTACCTTCACGAACCTTATTGGTAAGTAATGTTGCATGTTATAAATTTGTTGTTGTGGCTGATAAAATGAGTGGTGATGACGTTATGCCATTAATTGAAACCACATAGTCCGTACATGACTCTGGACCCCACTGAAATATTTCGTCAGTTAATAAGAAAGATTGTCAATCGTCCTGTACCACTTGTATAATGGTCACAAATAGTTGATGTAAAGACTGTGGTCTTAAGATTAATAAAAAATAAAAATAAAAATAGAATCCAGAAACATCAAAAATACGAATAATTTTATTATTTGTTTACAGCCTGCGATTCAATCAAATATGTCTGAAAATGATCAAAATCAAACAAACACACAATCAATATCTGGATGTGGTGCTCCTATTATGGTAATTTTTTTTCTTATTAAAACAGCAGGATAACACTATTATTTGCAAAGTCATACAATTTTTTAAGTATAGTAGAAAGCCGATTACTAAAATTAATTGGGACTGGAGTTGATTCGGATAATAGAAAATTCGGATAATTGGTCATAGACTGGTAATAAAGAAAAACAAACTGTCACATATAGAATAAACTTTAGTAAGTTGGTAATTTTATACTATCGCGGACGCCGCCATTTCCTTCTAACCTTACCTGTCCGACTTGGGATGGCCTAAGTCCTGAGCTCGCTTCGTTCGATCTTAATAAAACACCAAAATATTACCTTTTATGATTCGGATAATTGGCAATTCTGTTAATCTACGTTTGGATAATCGGCGTTCTACTGTATTTACTTTTCTATTTTTATCAATATTTATGTTAATAATAAAGAGTGGTTTTTAGGTGGATCCTTTTTGTGTGGCTACCATTCAAAATCAATCTGGAGAGGTTACGAAAAGGAGTAGCATAGATTTAGTCACTAGCATATCCACTGCATCAGATTTGGCTGCTAGCACCTCCTCTGAGTCAGATTTAGCTGATAGCACCTCCGCTGTGCCAGATTTAGCTGCTAGCGCCTCCGCTACGCCAGATTTATCGGTATGTCTAGCTTCTGTTTCTATTATCATCATTATTTGCGGATTTGATCTCAATTATGATATCTTATCCACTGAATTAAGACTGGATGGGAAATATCTGTTGCTTGTCTTCAATATTACCTATATCTTATTTTATTTGATTTCAGGCAGACTCAATTGAAACAATAAAGATGTTAAAGGACAAATGTCAAAACCAGTCCATGACTATAAAGAGACTCAATGAGGAAGTTAGAAGACAGAAGAAAAAAATTGCTCATTTAAGTAACATTATCAAGATATTACTTAAATGAACAATAGCTTTAAAGGAAAGAACTCGTGTTGAAATATATTTAAAAAAAGAAAAAGAAGAAATATATATATAAAGGAAAGAACTCTTTAAAATTGGAATGTCAAATATAAAACAATATTTAAATTAAATAATAATTCGAAATTTAAATTTTATTCGTTCTTGGATTATTTGAATGAAAAACTTACCTTATAATTTGATTTTCCTTTTAAAATTCCATGGAAATCTCTTAGATTACCTACTTACCGAATATTTGCGATTGCTGTATAATTTGTTTGGAATTTCAGTTTCACTGTTTCATTAGAATATTTTGAGTGTAGTTAATTTAATTTCTTTTTCATTTGTTGTTATAAGAATTAAACAAGATTTTTCGAGTTTGATTTGTTAGTGTATAATATAGGTATTTATTATTGTAGAAATCTGTGTTTTATTTTGTGTATAACAATATAGTTTATTTTTGTTTTAGTATAGATATTTATTATTTAAATAGGTTGTAGTTTGTCTTAGAAATATAATTTAGTGTAAATGGTTTTCCGCAATTTTCTTATATTTATAAGTTTGTGTGTCTATTTTTAAAAATGGGAGCAGAGTTGGTTAACTTCAATGGGAAGTTAATAAACCTTACTATTGTACTGATAGTGGGAGCATCTATGATTTAAAACCCAGAGTCGCTCAGACACTAATTTAAGGAAATTAATATTAACTTTGGCCTTTCAATACATTTATTAACATGTAATATACGTACACAAAAATAAATGATATTCATTCTGTAAATACTAGGAAACAGACGCTAGCTAGTACTAGTATTGCCCAGGAGAGTCCGGTAATAATAGTACATCTCCCAACCTCCCGGAGTGCAATAATTTCTCTGGTTTTTCTAAAAATATATGCATCCGCTGCTCGCACTCGCTTTGCCAAAATACCGACACATATTAGATGTTGCTCGAAAGCCAAGTAAATATAAATTTAAAAATTGATAAATGATTAGAGATTTTCTTTCATCCTCCCCTTCCCTACATTACTTAAAATTCTCCCGGGTTGGCCCTTTCGAGAGTTGGTAACTCTACTAGTAGTACCAGTTACTCAACTCTACCAAGTCAGTAATTGAATGCATGATTGTAAAAACCCACTTCAGACCAAATGCAAAAGTTTCAGAAAATCAATGAAAACTGTGTTTTTTTTTGTCTTTAGGCACTAACTGAATGCATTTTTTCAGGTCTTGTATCTTTGCATTAATGCAGAGCTGTCATAAGTAAGTCCATAAGCAGGTTCATTCGTAATCTATGGCCTTATCTTCAACAAAAATGTATACTTTATCAGTTCATCAATGAATTCATGCGTTTTTACCGGCACGTCACTGCCGATCTTTTTGAATGTGAGGTGATGGAATTTGTGAGATACTAAAGCTTATTTTCTCTGTTCTCGCAATTCGTTGATCTTGTTTCAAGGGATAGTGCAGTCTTTTTGAAATGTTGAACACACCATTTTTAAACTCGGCTACCTCCTCTCCGCTGACCAAGTGAACTGTAAAAAAATCACTGCTCATACACTGTACAGCCTCTCTTTACGACGAAGGCTTCTTTTTAGATTCCTCTATCACACGGCAGAAAAAAAGAATTGCCACGCATCGGCAAGATCTGTTGAATAATTTTGAAACGCTCACTGTCAACTAGGGCCATATTCATTCGTACTGCTGTATTTTTTTATTCTACCCTGCGCAGTTATCAGAAAAGAGCATTAGTCCTACCACTTTTTTGTCGATATACTCTTTAATATGTCATAATAAACAAGCATACTTCGTTTGGTCCATTTTTTGTTTGCTCGTCATGATATAGGAACAGGACATTTTTACTTGTTTTTAAATTGTGGATGCAGAAGATAGAAACGTTCAGCTGCCGCAAATAAAATATTTCTTGCACTGAAATTATTGACAATAAAATTCTGCGTGTAATCGTAGCAAATTCCCAAAATTGATTCATCTTTTTGGGATCTTTGCCTTGCTTCTTGAAGTTTATTATAGAAATTCTTTCCAGCTACATCATTCAGGGTTTTCAAATAGATTTCCAAGTCTAGACTCTCGCAGAGGCAGCACGTATCTACTGCTAGTCGTCAAAAGCAAAGAGCGAAGTTCTCGCTAAATATTGTTTTATATTATTTGTACTTAATCCTAATTCCTGGCTATTTTTCCTTATAAAGTCGAAACATTTTTTTTTTACTTATAGGTCAGCAGGAAGATACTTTATTATGCCAGATGAGAAGTGGTTCTCTTTTGCTGGAAAACGGGATATATGAATATACAGGGATATTAACCCCTGAAGACATTGATTATATTATACTAGGTTAGTAATCACCGCGCCAAAGCGTTGCCACTGCACATATGGCCACAGCCATATGCCTAGCTAACTCCAGTTCAGTGTTCAATTTGACGCCGACAGATTTGAGCCTAACGATCCGCGACAAAAAATGGATTAATGCGTGGTGAAAGAATGTGATTCAAGGTCACAAAAGCAATAAATCAAGCGGAATCTCTTCACACAAGTTTTATTTTATGTTTTCATATAAACGTAAAAACCTCAAATATTTCAGTAACATTATCGAAAATTGCGATTTAAGTTCAATGTTGCCACTTTTCCGCCTTTGTGATTATTCCACATTAATATATAATTAATGGAGTAAGTTAATTTGTTACACCTGATTTTAAATATTTTGGAAATTGTATTAAAAACTACGTTTTAATTTTCATACAAAATAATTAGTTATTCTTATTTTAGTTTATTAATGAATGATCTATTAAAATATTTTATATTAATTATAATTTAATATGAATTTTATGTTAGTTATATTTTATTACCTATTTTATATTGTTTGATTATTTAGCTTACTTACTTACTTATCTTCACGAACAATCCCTAACGGGGTAGCCAGAGAGAACAGATCGCCAAGTGTCACGATCCTTACATACCTCTTTCGCTTCCTTCAGGTTCATTAACTTCTTCATACATGCACGTCTAGGTATCCGAGTACTCTTGACCCTCCCCTCTTCGAGCAATTTGCTCACATGGTCTTCGAAAGTTAGTCTCGGTCTACCTCGACACCTTATTATTTAGCACAATAAAAATATTTTTAAACATATGTTTTATTTCATCAGTTATGCTTACATCTATTCATGTGATGAGAAAATATATTTTTAAATAAAAACAATTAACTGCAGTATAAAAATACTCCTTTTTATTGCATAATTTGGGTAAAATTTCGTATAGCAGGCCACACCAAACCGACATTGCATTTTGTGTGTCTATCTTTATCTAACCTTAGTGACGGTATTGTTTTCGCAACTTGTGTAAGTAGACAGATATATGTTTATTTAAAATGCTTAGTAATTTCAGAGCTACGTCGTCGCAGTTGGATAGTGGTTATTTTTTTCGACGCGCGGTAGTATACTCCTCTAGTTTTGTATAACTCAATGCCTGAAGATATATATCTTGTTTATTGTTTTTCGCCAAGATATATAATTTGGCAAGTTTCCCTAATTTGTCATTTTCGGATATGATTTCCCAGCATTTTTAGCACACTTGCATAGGCCCCACATTATTTTTGCTGTCACATAAGCCTCCCCATGAATACGTGTCGTTTTTTTAGTGCGTGTTTCACCCGAAGAAGACTTACCTGGGTTTAATATAATAAATTACATTTTCCTCCGTTTCAGCACTTATTTTCCCCATTAAGCAGTAGAATTTAATTTAATTTGTGTAATACAAGTAGTTCGTGTCTGTTATAGTCAATTCGGTTGTTCAAACGGTTCAAAATAACGTCAACAAAGAGTACTCTGCGAACTACCGTTGAAAATGTCAATATTGCCCAGGGCATGAAGGTTAGAGAACGGGAGAACGATCACTACGTACTAAAGCATAGCCCGCCTGTCCTTGAAAATTGTAGAATTTACAGCAGCGCTGACGTCGGTAAGTAGTGACTGCAAAGTTAGCTGTTTATGAGTACAAGTAGATGAAGTTAGTTGATTAATGTACAAATTTTCTCCGCGGCATTGGTGTGAAAATTTTCATGCTCCGTAATTTTCTAATTTTTGACAAAAAGAAACATCAAAAAATGAAGAAATATTTTATTGTGCATTAGCATCTGCATGAAAAAATAGACTGAAAATGACTTTATTGACCAAACTTAGCGATCGCAGCGCCTCACTTATTGTGTCCATATTTCTGGGACACTATTTTCTACGGCGATCGTTCTCCTGTTCTCTAACCTTCATGGACCAGGGTTTCAATTTCGAAATTTTAAGTTGCCATGTTTTGGGATCTGGATTGCCGTGTTTTGGAATAAAAACTTTGCCGTATACACTTTTATTTATTTTAAATTAACACCTAAGATTAAACATGGCATAAAAAAGTTATTCTTCATAGTCATTATACAAATTTCTTATCGTATCCAAAATTTCGTCTTTGTTCAATTTATATTTATTTATTTTTTCTTCATATAACCTATCATTTGTTTTTTCGGTTTGAAATTTGCACATTTTCCTTGGGATCAGATAATGTGCTTAGCTAGTAAAGTTACATCTGCTGTGGAAGTTTTTATTTTTGTATTAATTATATTTCTTGTTTTTATTTTTATCAAATTGACCTCACTTAAAATTGTTTCACGGAACGGAAAGGATAATACGCTAAGGACAAAACCGGTTAAATTTTTGCAACCGATTTCAGGTTACGTTAAAACTTGACCAAAAGTTATGTCTTTATTTGCGCGATACTTCTAATTTGGAATGCTTAATTACAGACGAAAGCTTTCGCCACTCATCATCAATTTTCTGATGAAGATCTTACCATCTCTTGGCTTTAATGTGGCAAAAGTTTTCCGGATTTTCTCACTGATTGCTTCTTCTGGCATTAGATAGTTTAATAAAGGTAATAAGGGATCGGAAAAATCATACATCTGGTTTGGAATTCTTTCAAATGATCTGGTTTATTTATAATATCCTGTTTTTTTAAGTTT